AATTTAAAACTAGTAATATGGTAAATATGGAATAACAAGGTTGGTAAGGTACCAATTTGGTTTTCACTTGACTCCTAATCACTTAATGCAGTAAAAAGAAGCAAAAGCGAAATCAATTTGTAAAATACAAGGTAGGGTTGTATGCATCCGGGGCTTGCCTTCGTTGACGGAAAAGTCCGGGTCCGGAGTCGCTCCACCGATATCAACTCCAACCTCCACAGACGGATCAACCTCCTCAACTACTTGATTAACTATCACGTGCTCACCTTCGTTCACTACACGTAGTAACAATGCCATGCTTAACATGATGCGGATACAAAATATGATGCTCGATGATGGATGCAAAACTTAACAACTTGAATACAACTTTTCTTCGCGGTACAGTTACAAGTTAAACCAACTAAACCATTTTCGCAACACTCACAACAATTGACAAGGATCATTACCAACTAATGACCCAAGGACATCACTTAATCAAAAACTCAAACAAAACCTAAATTACTAAAGGTTACTATTTGCTTTTATGAATGAATTAATTAATTAATAATTATGAAATAAATCAACTTGTTCCAATTGACCTCAAAATTTTTGTATATGTTCATCACATGATAACTAAGTGACAAAACAATTTTCATAATTTTTAGATACATAAATAAGTCTAGAAAAATCCTGGAAACTCATTTATTAATTAATTGAGCAATTTTTATCACATTCAAAAAGTACTGAAAATCAACATTTCATATTTTTCCTAAATAATACACATCACAGAGAAGCCACACAAAAATTTTCATAATTTTTGGGGCTCTAAATAAATCTACACAAAAATAACAAAAACAAACACTATTCATTTAAATCTGAAAAACAGAAAATTCATTTTGAACGCTGAGTCACTGACAACCGGGTCCCACTTGTCATTTTCAACCTCCAACGTTGACCACGGCAGCGACGGCTCTGACCGACGATTCCTCGCCGACGGTGAGTCCAACGGCGACGACCAAGGTACTAAAATGATCACCAAGACTAGGCGCATCGATTGACATTTCTATCTGTACTGATTACGGCCCTATACTAGCTCGACGGCGGCCATGGCGGACGCGGTGGCACGGCAGCGCTACGCCGGTGACGTGAAACCAGTAGAGCTCAAACAAAGGATCCAGGAAACACCAGTAGCTCACCCCGAACGCGTTGAAGCAAGGAGCGAGGTTGGAGAAACAACAGAGAGGCGTGACGACGACCACGGTGATCACGGTGGAGCAAAGATCGTCGGTGAGGAAGAACCGGCGACTGCAGTGATCAAAACTAGCAAGCAACATAGGATTAAGCACCACAGCATCGAGACGAAGCCGTAGGTACACTGATCAAGGCCAACGGCTCACCGGAGTAGGCTGGCCACGGTGAAACGGAATCTCGGGTGAGGTTGCCGGCCGCGAGGAAGAAAACGATGAACGGCGAGTTCACGGCGAAATCAAGCGACTAGAGCTAGCTGGCTGGGTGCGCAAGGAACTAGCGGAGCTAGGACACGCATCGCTGCGACGACGCAGACACTGGTTCGACGGTGAGGGCTCAACGGAGAATGGCGGTGACGGCGGGAGAAAACAGAGCAAGAGAAAAGAACGACGACGACGGCGCCTCTGTCCAAATAACACGGCTCAGAAGCTCAAGGAAGCTATGCTGTGGCCTTCATCGCGCCAGCGCGACGCCAAAAACGGCCACGACCGCGCCTGGAAGCAAACCGAAGATCACCGGCGATGAGTTGGCTTCCGCGGTTACTGTTCATCGAAATTACAGAATTGCCATCCACCAAAATTCCCAAATTACTCCCAAATTTTCATAACAACTCAAAAATCTCCAAAAACAAAAGTTGTTCAAAATCAAAAGTTCTACCACTTTGCTTTTGAAATGATACCCAAATTCGGCCTACATTTTGAAATGAACTTTTGAATTTAAAGAGGGGATATTTAAGGAATTTTGCCTTTTTAAATAACTTCAAATTTTACTAAACAACTTGAAAAACTCCAAAAATAAACTTTGTACAACTCGACAAGCTCTACAACTTTGCTTTAAGACTCAACCCCAAAATGTGCTTCGATTTTGAAATGGATTTTCAGGGTCGGATTTAAATATTGAAAATCAGGGTTTTCGGAATTTCAAATCAATACAACGATTTCAAACTTGATTCAAACAATACCAAGCAATACTTATAACATAAATATAAACTTGTTTTAGTGAATGCATAACAAAATTTGCAACATGACCAATGCCTTGCAATGCATATGATGATATGTCCGGTTTTTAATATTTAAACACCCGAGGTGTTACAGATGTGGCCTAGCACTCAATGACACAGGGTTTATACTGGTTCAGGCAACGTGCCCTACGTCCAATTTGAGTCAGTCGGTGACTTTATTCCTGAGCCCAAGTGCTCGAAGTTTGCAGTGGGGTTACAAACGAGAAGGAGAAAGATGGGGGGTACAAGAGGTCCGGTCGGACTCTGGTCAGAGGGGCCGAGAGCGACGGGAGCTCTGCTAGGTGTTATGTGTTCGAGTGTATGCTCGAGGTTTGAACCTGGTGGTTCTATTGTTGTGTGCTAGTGAACTTGATCGATCTAAATCAACTAAGCTGTGTTGGAGAGAGGGCATCCCCTTTTATAGATGAAGGGGATGGCCTTACAAGTGAGAGAGAGAGAGAGTGCGTATGCTTTCTAAGTCTTGTTGCCCACGCCGGTGAGTACAGGATGATGGTAGGCGCCCACAATACTATTTGATGTTAGATGCACGTGGGAGGTTGCGTCATCTTCTTCCAGTATGGCAGATGTCGGTGCCTGCCACACTGTTGATGCCAGAGGCATGTGAGGGGTTTTACCATGTTCGCAGGGTACAGTAAATGCCGGTGCCACAACACTGTTGATGCCTAGAGGCATGTGGGGGAGCCTTACCGTGTTTGTCTGGTATGAGAGTTGATGGCGTCCACAACACTGTAGGGGAAAATGTCGGTGCCTACAACACTGCTTGGGCTCTGTCATATCAGGGAGGTCGCAGAGTACTGTCTTGCAGGTGTATAGGGCACGTTCCTTGGTATTGCAGTTGACTTGAGTGCCATGCCTTATTTTCTCCATCCGTTCCCTGGTTCTTACTGAGCGGGCGTCCCCAGTTGGTTGGTCCTAGTCGGCTCTGATTGCGCTAGTCGGAGAGGAGCTATAAGCAGGGGTTCGGCGCATTGCTGGTCGGAGAAGTGGGTTGGAGCTAGAAGTGGTGTTTCGCCAGGCCTTCCGATCGGAGAGGCCGTTCGGAGGCGGGCTGGAGACCGAAGCGAGCGCTCCGGTCGGAGAGGTGGGCTAGAGTTGGAAGCGGGCGCCGTTCCCCTTCGGCCAGGCCTTCCGGTCGGAGATTGGATTGTCCTTCTGGCCTGTCGTCCAGGTATTTGGGCCGGCCCACGAGTTGTGCGTTGCTCGCAATGTTATCTGTTGGGACGAGCCTTTGTTGGAAAGCCCATCCATGAGGGACTCCGGGTTTATGAACCCGACATATATATTAGCCACGTAATTGCAAGGGTCTCCTTGTTAGTTAAACTTACTTGACTAAGTTATGATGAAAGTGCAAAACATAGCTGAACAAGTTTTTCTTAAAACTTATTTTTGAATAGATTTTTATAAAGACACTAAAGGGTGAAACTTATATGTATAAATTGGTTGTAAAATTTTGTAAGAATACAAAGTTTTGTCGATCCCAACATGTTTAACAACGAGAGACCATAACCGTAAAAGTTTTTGAAATAAGCTTGTCTGCAAAAAAAAATAGGCAATGTTGTGTTAACGAAAAGTACTATGCGAACTGAGGATACCTTAATGGATTAGTTTTTATTATGATGAAACATGTTTATTGTCGGTGTTTCGGATCACCGGCTAGTAAATTTGTATCTGCGCATCTGGCCCGAATGGTGTGCTTGGAGGACACAAGGATTTATATTAGTTCGGACAGAATGTCCCTACGTCCAGTGTGCTGTTGCTCGTGTTACCAGCACTAGTTTGTAGTAGGGGTTACAAACGGACGAGAGAGGGAGCGGATCCTAGGTCTCTAGTGGAAGGGTTGAAGAGTGCTGAGAGTTTGTTCAGCCATGTGCTCGTTCGCCCTTCTTGGGATGTCCTGCTTCCCCTTTTATAGGTGAAGGGGAAGGCGCAGGTTATAGAGAGAAAGGAGGAGAAAAGCGAGGGAGAAGAAGGCCTCCAGGGCCGTCGGGTCCCTCTTCTCCTTCATGCGGGTCCCGCCAACGCTGTAAATGATGACGAGGATGGCTCCACGTCGGGCTCCTGTTCACCACTGGTGCCATGCCCCGGTGTTATCAGCTAGTCGTAGCATCCCATCCCGTCCAGGCAGACGGCGTGGCGAACCGACGTGCCGGTCAGCGGCCGTACGGGGAGTAGGCAGCACAATGGCCACGCACCCGTCACTATTGGTGACGTGAACCCCCGGGTGTGGCCTGACGTGGCCATGGGTCACGTCGAGACATGTCCACTTTCCTCCCAGTGTCAGAAGTTTGACCTCGGGGTCGTATCCTCAGACCCGTAGTGGTTGGAGGCGGTATGGGTCCCCGTCGGGCGAGACAGAGCCCGCGCTGCAGGGGTCGGGCGAGACAGAGCCCGTGCCCTCAGGGTCGGATGAGACAGCTCCCATACCCTTGGGGTCAGGCGACACGGGGCCCGTGCCCTCGGGGGTTGGACTTCGTCAATCTTAAATTCTATCAACTTCGTCTTTTAGTGGTTTTTATAGGAATGGTTATATGTCTAAAAAACATATGTGGACATCTACGATGTTGACGTGGTCGAGAAAATGAGTATTTGTGCCCATCAGGGGCACTGTTGTAGAATTAAGGTGAGGAGGAAAAAAATATAGGACTACTCAGGTTTCGTAAATGTGCTAGCGCTGACATTGGCCCTGTTTGGATCCATGGGTTAGAGTTAGTTGGAGCTATTTAGGGCTCAAATAGCCCTAAAGTATCCAAACATGAGGGTTAGATAGGAGTTATTTGCATCTAACCCACCCAAAAAACTATCCACCACAAGAGATGCTTATTGAGGCTATTTGAGGTGGGGCCCACTAGAAAAGTGTTTTTTCTCCCGCATGGGATCTCGCTCCCGTTCCCCACCCGCACTCATCTCCCTCCCGTTCCCCACCCACACTTGGTCTCCCTCTCGTTCCCCACACATGCGCCGCCGCGGATCTCGCCACACGCGCATCGCCGCCTCCCGGCATCCACGCTGTCGCGTCTCCCTAGCCGCGCCGCTACCTCCCATCGATGGACGAAGACGGCTTCGACGCGTGGGGCTCGCAGCCGTCGGCGAGCGGCCCTGGCCACGCTCCCGCTGGCCTCGCGGATCTCGACCTCAACTAGCAAGCGCCGGCGGTGGAGGTGTTCCCAGTTCTTGGGCTCTACGGAGCCGTCCTCTAGGGCAACGTCGACGAGCTCCTCCCTGGCCGCGTCAGGGGCTCCGGCCTCCCTCCCTATCGCCCACCGCAAGCCGGAGCAGGAGACGCGTGGGCGACTCCGGCCTCACCCTACGCCCGGCAACTCCACTTTGGTGGGTCGTCGGCGGCGGCAGCCGGTCGCGGAGGAGGAAACGGTGGCGTATTCCCCGATGGGTCATCGTCGGGGGCAGGCGGCGTTCGTCAGCGCGTGAAATCGTCTGGCGCAGTACCCGGCCGACAGCGCACCAACACGGCGTTACATGGCGACGGCAGCCAGCGCATAAACACGGCGATCCATGGCGGTAGCGGCCAGCGCGTACTGCGTCCCCGAGCACCGAGGGCACCGAGGAGTGCCGTCCGTGGGCAAGCATCCGGCTCCGGCGCTCCCTTCGACATCGATGAAGAATTGGAGGATGATGTGGAGGAGTTAGCGAGCTCCGGCGGTCCCCTGGTGAGCCATGCCAATCGAGCCCAATGGAATGATGCAAATAATGCTTGCTTGTTAGAATTGTGCATAGAGCAACGTAGAGCAGGAACGTATAATGGTGCACAAATGAGTGGTGAAGGGTACGAAGCCGTTGTCGACGGCTTACTTGCTCGAAGGGGGTTGTTGTATACCTGTCTATAGGTGAAGAACCAAATAGGCGTACTCAAGAACACCCACTCATTCTGGTGCTACTTGCAAACACACACAGGGTTGGGGAGGAAACCAGATGGAACAATTGATGCAGAGCCTGAGTTCTGGACAACACACACAGAGGCAAAGCTATGCATGAGTCTGAGTTCCCTAGCAAATTGTGTAGTGTGCTCACCTTAACTAGTTTCTGATCACCTTGTGATGTAAACCTATGATGCAGAAAAAACAATACCTAAAGAGTCTGCAGTGGGGTCCTCTAGGAAACGAGGAGTTGCTTGATGAACTATTCAGAGGGTTAGCTATCGATGGAAGCACAGCCTTTGTGCCTGGAGATGATTATGGTTAGAATCAGGAGCAAGATGTAGGGGCAGAAGAGGAAGAGGAGTTTCAAACAACACATACAAGTAGAAGAAGCCAGAGGAGTCAGAGGGGAAAGAGGTCATTAAGCAGCAATTCAAGCACTTTGACCAGTCCAGTGAAGAAGAGCAAGAGCCCAATGGTGAAGATTGTGAAGGACATAGCCAATACCTTCAAAGACTCTGTCAAAGTCAACACTACTCAAATACAGAAATGTGCAAGTGACAAGGCAGCATGTTCTGTCGAGAGGTGTCAGGAGCTGGCATTTGAGTGTGGCGTTGAGGAAACCGTTGACTCTGTCTATGCTATGTCCAAGATGTTCGAAAAAGAGTACCAAAGGCAGTTCTTCTGTGGCAAATTAACTCCTCAGCTTAGGTTGGGTTACTTCAAGAAATGGTGCAGGGACAACAATCTGAGCTTAGGAGGTGTTGAGTAGTTCTTCAAGAAATGTGTGTGTTAAGATGTTGATCTTTTATCTATGTGTTGAACTATTAGCTGTGTGTGAGGTGTTGAACTATTATGTGTGTTGAACCTATCATCTGTGTGTGAGGTCTTGAACTATTATATGTGTGATGTGTTGACTTAATGCTATGTGTTGAACCTATTTATCTATGGGCTGTATTAATTTGTTGAATTAATTTCATTTGCTTACACTGCTTCAAGTTTTAGGCTATGTGTTGACAATTTGTTACATGTGTTGAAGCAGGAAGAAGATCAAGGCCCCATGATTGAGGAAGAAGAAGATGATGGAGGCAGCACAAGTGAGGATGAGATTATATCCACGTGCTACAATAATTTGGTGGAGGCCCATAATTTGATCTTGCAGTTGGTTCCTATCTTGGGTATGTACTCTGATAACTACTTTGTCAAACTACCTAGGAGGGTCACTAGAGACTCTGGTTTGGATTGGGTGCAGGAGACACTAGCTCGAGATACCCAATGCTACAATATGTTTAGGGTTGAGAGACCTTTATTTAACAGGCTACATAATACTTTGGTCCATTCATATGGGTTGAAGTCCAGTACAAAAATGACATCTGTAGAGGCTCTTGTTATGTTTTTATGGGTTGTTGGTTCACCACAGTCAGTTAGACAGGCTGAGAACCATTTTAGGAGGTCTATGGAGATAGTTTGCAGAACATTTAACAGAGTTTTGACATGCCTCCTTAGGTTAGCACATGACATAATTGTACCCAAGGACCCAACATTTTAAGAGGTGCCCCCAAACTTAGAAAATCCTGCATTCTGGCCACACTTCAACGACTGCATAGGAGCTATAGATAGGACACATGTGAAGGTTGTGGTGGATAAGAGTAAGAGGGTTCCATACTTGAACAGGCACAATGAAACCAGTCAGAATGTGCTTGCTGTTTGTGATTTCGACATGAGATTTACCTTTGTGTTGTCGGGATGGCCTGGTTCAGCACATGACATGAGAGTTTTCAAAGATGCCATAACTACTCATCATCACAAATTTCCACATCCACCACCATACTTGAACTGTCTTGCAATAATTTTAATCCAATTACACTTGTTCATCTAAGTCTCATTGTGTGCCTTTCAAAATATGTAGGGAAGTATTATGTGGTTGATGCGGGGTACCCAAACCGGCCGGGCTACCTTTCACCATACATATGTACAAGGTACCATGTGGAGCAATGGCAAAACGGCCCGCCGCCACAAGGTATGAAAGAAACCTTCAACCATGCACATTCCAAAGTTAGAAATGTCATAGAGCGATCTTTTGGAGTGTTGAAGATGAAATTTAGGATTTTGTTGAACATGCCAAGATTTTCAGAGGACAAGCAAATTAGAATTATTGTTGCTTGTATGGCTCTTCATAATTTTATTCGAGAGAGCAGAATTGCGGATATGGAATTTGATGCCTGTGATGCGGATAAAAATTATAACCCAATGGCTAGTTCTTCCGCATCAGCATGGCCAGAGGATGAACCTTTTGTTGAAGATATCAACATGACTGCATTCCGTGATGAGTTAGCTGATACTTTGTTTAATGGAGTGTAATTTTTTTTAGCTTGATTGAGGACATGTTTGAGTGAGACATCTCATTTGTATGGACAAATTAAAATTTATCGTGTTTTGGATGCATGATTTGTAAAGATGATTTGTTTGTGTCATTTGTGAGCGGGAGGAGGGCACACAATAGCCGGCCACACCAAATCCGGCCGGGATGGAGCCAAATGATTGGAAAAATACATTTATTGTTAATCTAACCCTTGCACCAAACATCTCTTTGGCTAGAGTTAGTTTATGGCTACTCATGAGCTAGAGAGTAACTCTAACCTCCTCTAGCTTAGTTAGAGTATCCAAACAGGGCCATTGACTGAACGAATTTCCATACGGTCCACGCAGTGCGCGTGAGCGATACAAAATCGATGGGTGTGACCAGTTGGTGCATGCGCCTTTATTATTTTGCAAAAGAAAAAGAAAAAGAAATCTCTTACCTCACTTTGAGATTCGAGTTATTAGGTAAACTTTTGCATTTTGCAAGGCCGATATCAGTTGCCCTTAGAATCAGTAGGCTTTGGTCATAGCGCTACTCACACCACGAGCGTGTTTGATGATAAGCAAAAAATCTCAATCCACAATAAGAGGGGGGAAAAAAGCACAAGACTAGGGTTTCCCAGCAAAACTCAACTCAAATCAAGTAAAACAAAAGTACATAAAACTGCAAGTTATCCAAACGATATTTATATTCTAGAGGTTTAATTAATTAATCCTTTGTTTCAAAGTTGAACACTTGAACGCATCTTCTTCTTTTCTTTTTTTTTTATAAAGGAGGCCTAGAAAGCAAGTCACTAAGTCATGAGTTGATGACGTGTGCAAAAAGAGAGAAAAGAGAGGTCCTTTAGAGCTTTCTGTTGATATTGTTCTCCCAAAAGGGGCCCTTTGATGTATAGATAGCGCATGCATGCGTGTCGAGCCTGCACCAGAGCATCATCATAATGAAGGCGCCGGGGCACGTACATATACAGGACCCAAAAGGCGAGGCGAGAGACCGCAGCGTCAAGGCCTCGGATCGCTTTGAGATCCCGCCATTTGACCTGACCTGAGCGAAAAGCTTGGCAATAGATCTCCAGCTGATCGATCTTTTGACCCGCCGGTCGGTTGGCTCGGCTGCGAATGCGAGCGAATCTAGACGGCCATTATACGCCCACAGTGGCAGTGCGTGCCCCGGCCATGCGCTGTTGTTGCTTGCACATCACACCATATCTCGTGGCTGGCTTTTACTACAAAGAAAACGAACATGGGAGGCAGCCAGGCGTGGCCTACTACCGGCTGGCAGATCAATTAGTAGGAGTACGAGCCGGTCGTCATGCATGCACTGTACCACAAGGGTCAGTGGGAGGGGTTTGGAGTTGGAGGAACTCGTGCATGGGTGGTGGCCCTGGCCCTGCAGTGCGGTGCACTGCGGCCAAATTAAGATTTGGGCTGGCTGGCTCCAAGATTGGTGTTGTTGACGAGTAAATTTGTATTTGCACGTCTGTCTTGAATGGTGTATTCGGAGGACATAAGTGTTTATACTGGTTCGGGCGGAACGTCCCTACGTCCAGTTCGCTGCTGCTCGTATTACCGGCACTTGGTTTGCAGTAGAGGTTACAAACAGGCGAGAGAGGGAGAGGATCCCAAGTCTCTAGTGAAAGGAGTGAACAAGTGTTGGGAGCTCGCTTGCCGCTCAGCTGTGTGCTCGTGTCGTGCTCTTCTGTCCCGATCTTCTTTCATGGGGCGCCTTGCTTCCCCTTTTATAGGCGAAGAGAAAGCACAGATTATAGAGGAGAAAAAGGAGAAGAACGAGAGAGAAGAAGGTTTCCGGGGTTGTCGGGTCCTTCTTCTCCTTCATGCCGGTCCCGCTGATCCTGTAGATGTCAACAGGGACGGCTCCATGTCGCGGCCCTGTTCGTCACTGGCGCCATGCGCAGGCATCATCTGTCGGTCATGGTGTTCCACTCCGTCCCGGCGGACGTCGTGGTGAACTGACGCGCCTGTCAGCGTCCGTAGGAGGATTAGGCAGAATAGCACCGGCACGTCCGACACTGTTCTTATGTGAATCCCCAGGTATGGCCCGTCATGGCCACGGGTTACATCGAGGCGTGTCAGCCTCTTCCCTGGCGTCAGAGTTTTGACCTAGTCCCATACGCTTGGACCTGGAGTGGTTGACGGCTGTATGGGTCCCCGTCGGATGAGACGGAACCCGTGTCCTCAAGGTCGGACGAGACAGAGCCCACGACCTTGGGCGAGGTGGAAACCGCGTCCTTGGGTCGGGCGAGACGGAGCCCGCGGCATTGATCGAGACGGAACCCGCGTCCTTGGGTCGGGCGAGACCTTTTAATACGTCTCGAGCCATCCGGAGAAGTCAGCGTGGGCGCTAACTTCCTTGTTTTGGGTATCCCTAATATCGATACCCGACAATTGACGGTACAGAAGAAAGAAGTATACGGGCGAATTCTCCAAACAAAAAGGCGTCGTCAAAACCAAAAGGGAGATAGATATCGCTATTAGCCGGCTGAAGATCGTATCGTTCCCTTGGCCGGTTCATATCATGGCAGTACAGCACCGTGGCGGCGGAGCAGGATTCCTATCAGGAAATCCCGCGAAAACGATCACGCGTAGTACGTGAAATCCCGCGCAAGGATTCTTTCGGGTCAGTTGGGAGAGGGAGAGAGGGGGATGGGGTAGAGGAGGGGTGTCTCATCGGATGTCACATTGGGTGTCGCACGGTATGTTCGGATACTAATAAAAAATAAATTACAGAATCCGTAAGTAATCCGCGAGACGAGCGTCATCAGCACATGATACTGTAGCAACACATTGTCAAATCATGGATTAATTAGGCTTAAAAAATCATCTCGCAAATTAATCTCAATCTATGTATTTAGTTTCATAATTAGTATATATTTAATAATCTATACATATATTCAAATATTCGATGGGACAGCGACCAAAGTTCCGCATGGGTTACGCACGCCTCTGACTGATGGGTTGGGTATATGTACAGCGTTCTCGATCTGCTCCTCGTACTCTTCTTCCCTGCCTGCTTCACTGCCACGAATACTGTGTAGCTAGGAGTATGCGGATCGAAGAGCCATAGAGAACCTGTGCCTACCGGTGTCACGAAGGTGACTAGAAAAGTTTTGACATCCTGGTGGACAGTTTGATGGAACCGATGGAAGGAAATGGAGCCCTAGCTAGCTACTGCACAGCACACGGGCACGTAGTCGTAGGTAGTACGCATGACCAGGACGTGCCGTCTAGCTATCGTCTCGTCTCTACAGAGGGACGAGAGATCCGAGGATAGCAACCACGTACTGGCTGGCACGACTAGTAAGCGCGGCGCAGGGACGGACCCGAGCCGGCAGATCTCCTCAGCTAGGAGAAGCAAACAAAACCCCGGCTGGCTGGCAGTGCCAGTGGGAG